CACCATGCATATTCCAATATGTATAACTTCTATCAATTCCATACCGTATTAGATGCGATGCCAACTGAACCACGTCAACCCGATTCCCATAACAGCAACACAAACAAGGACATGTCATTCGACCGGGGTCTTCGGCGTGCGCAACAGCAAACTTAACGAATTCTGATACCCCGTTCTCGTACTCTTTCGACAATCGATTGGAATACATCCATGTCTTATCCATGGTTTACGGTTTCTGAGTCAATCTGAGCTAAATGATAAGTTAGAAAACAAAACCAATACTCAAAACTTGCACTTGCTCTTGCACAACCATATAACAAAACCAATACTCAATACTTTTCACTAAATTCATTTTATTCTATCAACTAATCACATTTTATGATTACATCACTAATCACAATTCTTAACTCTCACAATTTTATATAAGCATGCATTCTGTTACCTTAAAAAGTTGTTTTTGTTTCTTTATCCATCTCATTAACAAGTTAATTAATCACTTTACATTATCTCTAATTAAATATACATATAGATATAGATATATAGATACATAATAATGAATGGTAATGTGAAATGGGTAACCCCGTTTGTTAATGAATCATAATTTCCACCACCATTCACTAACACAACACAACATCATTAGCACAACCCTCTACATGTCCGTTTCTTATATACTAGTACACCCTTGTTTCATCAAACTCAAGGGCTACCCTATACCAAACTTCATATGTTTCTTATATATGGCATGGCCTCATCGAGTTAAGAAAAATAGATTAATAAACTAATCCATTTTTAATAAAAAAAAAATCAAGTAAATAAATCAAAACTTGATTAATCAATCAAAAGTGAATAAGAGGTAAGAAGAGAGAATGACTACTTGATTAGTCTTGAGAAACTTACACAAACCATAAACAAGTTAGTAATCACAAGAAAATTGAAACCAAATGAAACTTGTATGAATGCATCATGAATGGACATCAAGTTATCAAACAGTTATCATGATTATCGATTCACAAATGAAAACGGGAACCAAAAATTCAAGCTCTTATCCAATTCAAGTTCATGATATGAAAAATCAAGCTCAAAGTAAGCTAAAATCAACCGAACCAAATTCCGGGAAACAACTATGTAATCCTAATAATGCTCAATAAAACTCATCTCAAACAAGTGTTCCATGTGCACACGATAAACAACAATACCATAACCGAGTTTGTCATTCAAAACCAAATCACACAATGTCATCACAAATTCAAAGCCAACATATTTTAAAACAAAATTAGGAATAATCAAAATCAACACCAAGTTTAATTCATTCAAGATTAACTCAAAATGAAATAACATATTAATAACAGCTCCTTCCATTGGCTCAAAATGAACATGGGATCAAATTCTCAACAATTAGCTCAATAACCATACAATAACATCATCACAAATTCAACATTAATTCTATTCACAGTCAAAAACCAAACCCAATGAAATTCGCTCCCAAAATACATTATTAACCATCATTAGAAACTCACCAATTAAACAAAAATAGTAATGCTGTCAAAATTCTGTTACTCAATTTAACACCAAATAGGAATCAAACTGTCATGAAAAATTCCCTTCAATTTTAACAATAATTATCACTAACAATGTCAATACAACAAATAACAAAAACATTATCCACTTCCATAAATCACATTTAAATATAGCAGTACCAAAACTTCAAATGAAAAATGGTGACAAAGAGGATCTGAATTGCGGAATCGAAAGGGTGTTCGGACGTCGGAGCTAGCGGATTGAGGATAGCAGATTGGTGATGATGGTGTATGTGTGAACTGATTGTGTATCAGAGTGAGCGAGTGATGCGAAAATTGTAACAAAAAAATCATCAAAGGGTTTTAGGAAACATTCAAAAATCATCAAACAACAACAACAACCAATACACTGTGAATGAGAAGAAAATAATAATCAACGAAAACCAAAACTGATTTCAGAATACATAACAGCCATAGTACGAACCTTGTGAAGAGAGGGACGAGTCGTGCGGCGGCGATGAGAGTTGACGATGGTGGCGAGGACGAAGCTACCGTGAGAGGACGGAGAGAGGAACAGGAACGAATTTGGGGGTTGGGACGTTGGAAGAAAGGAAACACAACAGCCACAGTACGAACACACCTTTAATCAAAAACAATAAAATTTATTATAAAACAACTTACGAAAGTGCTTTTAAAAGCGCTTTCTAATGGTCATGTATAACAGCGCTTTTACATAAAAAAGCGCTTTCGTAGCATATCCTATAGCAGCGCTTTTAAAAGCGCTTTCTAAAGGCCAGATTTAGCAGCTCTTTTGAAAAGCGCTTTCTAAGGCTGACCTTTAGCAGCGCTTTTAAAAAGCGCTTTCTTAGGTTCCCTCTGAAAGGCACCCTTTAGCAGCGTTTCTCAAAAAGCGCTTTCTAAGGGTGATCTTTAGCAGCGCTTTTGAAAAGCGCTTTCTTAAGAAACCCTTTGAAAGCGCTTTTTTTAAGCGATTTTTTTTTAATACCTACAGCAGCGCTTTTTCCTAAAAGTACTTTCGTATGTGTGCTGCTAAAGCTTATTTTTGGCGTAGTGAGTCTCTCATCAGCTACGTTGATAAAGAAAACAAACCCATATCTTCTTCCTCTCTTATCCCTTTTGGAGGGACTACCACCTCTTCAATCTCTCCAAACTCTTTAACCTCATAGTATAAGTCCTTCGCCTTCCATTTTTCATCAAACTCCGTGACAAAGAAAGTTGATGACTGACCCGACTTCCTTCTCCCTCCGTCACACGCAACATCTCACCTGCCATTTCCGCCATAACTCTCATTTCTCTTCTTTACCCTTCTTCATCCTTCATGGTCTTGGACTGTTGCTTGGAAACGAACCATACTAGTGAAAAAGATGAGGAAGTTAGAGAGAATGGGGAGTTTCTCTCTCTCACTCATGTTTCATACTCCTTTTCAAAATGACATAAAATTAAAATTAAAGTATTTATAGAGATTTAATGTATAAGCTTCGGTTTGTGGTGTATCAATCTTATTGAATCATCATGAAGTCAATTATGTTTTGATAGAATATCTATTAAATCGCTTTGTATAAAATGACTTTAGTTGTCTTGTGATTGACTTGCATTAGAAGCAATCAAGTACTTAACAATTTCATGTGTTATATCATTTGGTTTAATTCACTAAAATGCTTCTAAACACTCTTGTTATTGTATTTTTCTCCCATACTTTTTAAAATCTCTGATTTTGTATTTATCTATCTATGTTTAATGACTTTGTTGATTTTTAGTTGTTGTTGAACCTTTTATTCGATCGATGTATTAAGGATTGAGAATTCCTTATACTTCTTTTAATGAATCTGTTTGCTTATAAAAAAAAAGTTGAGTAATATAAAAGTTATGCTCCACACTTGACTTAGAAACCTTATAAAGTTATACTCCTGCATCTTGCAATACAATGAGATCATTTGGAATTGGACGTAAAGAGAGAGTAATGATAAGTGCATTAGTTGCATCTTGCATTACAAAGAGATCTTTTGTATTTTGCTCTGCACTCGAATAGTACACTCGTTAATGACAACTTATTAGTCACTTTCAGAAGACAAGTGCACGTGAACTTTAAATCCTTTGTTTTCTCTCTCGACATGTTTCAGGGATTAAATAAAATAGAAGAATATTTATGATTTTATGAACAGTGGCAGAATCAAAGTAACCCAAATGGAAGAAAACGAGTGAAAATGGAGTTCGTAAAACACCAAAGTTGGAGGAACAATTTCTGAGCGCCGCCACAGTTTGTAATCATTCAAAATTCAGAATATCTTCAACTTCCCATAAAATACTTATTACATTTTGAAACTAAAACACACACCTAGCATAAAGATAACTTTATTATTCTCAACTGTAGAAAAATCTTGATTATATTGACATTTTGGGTGGAGAATTTGGGTGGTGGTACAAAACCTGAAAATAAATTACATCCTCATGCAAAAATAGTATAACTTTTACGGTGTTAATTTTTTTTCTTTCACTTTTGATGTAAAATATAATAAATTCAAAACATAATCTTTATTTGTTGTTTCATTAACACATGTTAGTGAAAACTCTTAAATAAAGAGTATATTATGTTATACCTGTACCAGAAAAAAATTATTAATATAATATCATCGAGTAGATTAAAAGTAATAATATTGCATTTGTGTAAAACTAACTAACATATGTAAAAATACTAGTATTTTAATTAAGGTGAATTCTTATTACAAAAAATTGAATAGAAACTACCTTTAGAGTAAAATGATTTGAAAATAATTAAAAAGATATTATTTAATAAATAATTAAATAAGATAAAATTAAATACTACACTATGTAAGAAAGAAAAATGAGTTGACAATGACATGTAAAAAGAGCGTGAATCAGTTCGTGTCTTTCTATTGTACTACGAGCATGGCTGTCTAGAAATACTCAAGAGACAAAGATCCATAGGTTTGTACTTTGTAGTAGTAATGCTCTTTTCAAAAGTCAATTCTAACAAAACTTTATAATCCATCAGATCAAAAGTCAAAACTATTATCTCTTTCATTTGCCCCTCTTTTTTGCGTTTAATTCAAGGGTTAGGAAGCATGAAGACATTGATTAATTTATTATATTTTGAAAAATTAAGAAAAGAAAAAAACTACAGTATTATATTTGGGACAGGACAGGTAGAAGAAATGATAATGATGCCATGCCATGCATGCAATGTGTGCAGATCGATTGCTTATCAAACTAGATCTATAGCATTCCCCACCTTTAAACATACCTACAACCCTTTTTAAACCACAATTAACATTTTCTCTTTGTTTTTTTCTTCACTTTTTAATTTCAACACTACATCATTTCTCCTAATAAAATATCATAATAATAAGACATTTCTTTATTTCTAAAAAATCTCTATAAATAAGACCAAAGGACACAAACTCCTTCATTCTTATTCAACGCCTTAATCTTTCAAACTCAACTATGGAACAACCACTTCAACGCTTGAACGGAATGCCTCCGACAGAGGATCAACCGGATAACCACCGCCGCCACAAAAAGACCCCACCCTCCACCGTACCAACAAACAAAACCGGTAGCTCAATACGATACCGTGGAGTCCGACGCCGTCCATGGGGCCGTTACGCAGCCGAGATAAGGGACCCACACTCCAAAGAACGCCGCTGGCTTGGAACTTTCGATACTGCCGAACAAGCAGCGCGCGCCTACGACTGCGCCGCCATATCCATGCGCGGTTCTAAAGCCCGAACCAATTTCTTTAACCCCGAAACCGAAACCACCGAACAACATTATCAACAACACCAGCAACATTGCCTTTTTCATTCTTTCAATGTTCCAAAACAGCAACAATCTCAACACCACGGCCACGTCAGCAAGCTCAACGCTGCTGATTATGTTAACCACACTTGTTCAAACACCAACGCCTCTTTTGTTCCTTCCTTTTTTCAACACTTTCATCACAAAACCGATAACATTATTTCTTCTTCAGCTTCCGCTTCAGTTTCTATGGTTGCTGTTATAAACCAAGGTTGTTATGGTAAAGATAATGTTACTGAACATATTATCGATGATGACTCGGATTTTTTCCCGAGAGAATCCTCTGGTTTGTTGGAAGAGATTGTTCATAAGTTTATGAAAAGTTCGAAAACAACAAATAATGAAAAGAAGATGAAAACTGAAAGTTTTGTTGGTTCAGTTTCTCAACCAATAAAATCTCATCATCATAACATGTTTCCTGAGAATGAGGGTTTTGGTTCAGTTTCTTTTGATCAACAGCAAGGTTTTCCTGTGCAGCAATATGAGAGTTTTCATAATGGATTTAACTTTAACAATAATGTGGCTATGTGTGTGGAGGGAAATTATCAGGCAGCAGAGTGCTCTATGATGGAAGATGTGTTTTACTATCCTGAACTTTTTCATTCTTTTGCTACTAGGATGCAAAATGTCTAACCTAATCAATATATTACCTGTTTTATGCTTAGTTAAGCTAGTTAACTTAGGTTCAATTTTAATTAGCTTATTTTATTTGGTCTATCAATGTACTTAGAGTCTTTGTTTGTAGGGTATTTATTTTATGATTTGTTGGTGTAACAAGGTTAATATATTATTAAATTAAATGTTCAAGTTAACTGGTTACTTATATGTGTTCTTGTCTCAAATCAACAGTAGTTTATTTAAGCATGCTGATTTTTTAAGGACTTCACTTTAGTTCATTAAATTTAGGTAATCTCTTTCTTTTTGTTTAGATTTGGCTGCTTACTCTATTATTTTTTTTCCTTCTTTCTTTATGTTGATAGATCTCTCTATTCTTTTTGTTTATATATAAAATACCGCCTTCATTTTTTTATTTAAATTGTTTTAGACTTTTCAAATATTAAATATTAAATTGTTTCAAATAAATTTTTAAATTTTTTAAAATTAATAAAAAATTTATTAATAAATATTTAAGGGTATAATAAGAAGAAAAAAGACATTAATAATTGATAAGTATTGTAAAATAACATATTTTAATACAAGTTTACTTTTTAAAGTGATTTATAATAAAAAAATAAAAGAGTAATGTTAATATTGTTAAGAATTAAATAAAGAAAATTTATTTTAGAAATTGTGTATAAAATTTATTACAGGTATATAATTTAATTTTTTAATTTTAATTTTTAAGACAAATTTTCTAATTATGGGATTTTTTTTAAACTAGCAAACATTATTTTCATTTTGAAAACCAGTGGAGTTGGCCACGGTGGTCTACCGTTGCATTATGAAGCAACGTTATTCAGCTTAACATAAATAATAAATTAATATTAAAACCAACAAGAATGTTGTTTTCTTTCATTTTTGTTTAAATTTTTTTTAACAATTTATTTGCTTATAAATGATTTATATATTAATTTTATTTTACATTAATAATTTTATAAATGTTAATTTTACTTTAACAATTTAAAAATAATTTTTTACTTTAATTAATGTTATAAGTTAAGTTTAATTAGATTTATTTGTTTATTTCATTTCACATTAATATTGATTCAAATAACTTAATTTAATATTTTGAGTTAAAATAAAATAAAATAAAAATAAAATATTAATATATGAGATAAAATTACGGAATCATTGTAAGTTCTTTAAAGTTGTACTATTAGAGTGGAAATTAGATGAATTATTTTAAAATGTCGTGGTTTAATCACTACGCCAAAAACTGCTTTTTGCAGCGCCTCTACTAAAGCGCTTATTGAAAAAGCGCTGCCATAGCCTTCACAAAAAACAAAATTAAAAAAAAGGAAAACCTACGAAGGCGCTTTTTTAAAAGCGCTGGCATAGGGTTCCCTACGAAAGCGCTTTTCAGAAAGCGCTTTCATAGGTATTTGAAATATCTAACCTACGAAAGCGCTTTTGAAAAGCGCTCTTATAGGGAACCCTATGCCAGCGCTTTTGAAAAGCGCTTTGATAGGGGGACCTACGAAAGCGCTTTTTACCTCAGAAGCGCTCTTATAGGGTACCCTATGCCAGCGCTTTTTAAAAGCGCTTTCGTAGGTTGTTTTTATAATAAAATTAAAAATCCCTAAATCTGTTCTTTAGTCTTTCATTTCTTTCGTTCAGAGCTTCCTCAGTTCTGCCGTCGCCGCCGTTCGTCTTAAGCTTTTCAGCCTCCGTTGGTCACCCCCACCGTCTACACCCTTTCCAACCACAATTCCGCTCCATCAACTCCTTCCAGTACACCTACAACGAGCTTCCCCTGTCTTCCTCTAGCTATGCCACCATTTCCGGTATCTTAGAAGTGAAACGCTTTGCAACAATCTCAGTTATCATCATCAGGTATCATCAATTCTTCACTACCCAGATGCTAATTCCTCTTTACTTGTTGAATGCTGAATATTGACTATTGAAGTTGATAAGTTTTTTTGGTGTTTTTTTTTTGTTACTAGCTTTGAATTGGGTCAAGATACTGTGAAACTTGAAAAAGAGGTTAGTCCATGTGTGATTGTGAATGATCCTGTGAATTGAGTTGATTGATGTGAGTGAGTCTGTTGAATGTGAATGTATTGGTTTTTTTAAATCTATCTTCTGATACATGGTGGCACAATTTCTTTGATTCCATAGTGGATTGAGCAAAAAATAATTTATTTCTTAGGCCAAAATCATACATTCTATGCAAAAAAATGGATGTTAGTGTTGCTAATGGTTGAAGTTTATCCCATTTTGGAGGAAATTTAAGGACTAAAGTCTTGTGCAAGTCACTTGTTTGACAGTTTGCTTGAAAAGAGACAAAAAAGACTATTCTCGCCGGCACGAAGCTATTCTCGTTTTTGTTCTGATTCCTCATCCTCGCCGGCACGAAGCTTTTTTCGTCTAGAGTCGTATCAAAAGGTATGTTTCAAAATCCTTGTCATTCATACATTTCTTCTGTTCGATTTGTCTGTGTTGCCGGGAATCTTGTTTTGTATCTTGCACGCAAACTGTTCGATAAAATGAGGAATATTGTTTTGTGTTGTGGAAGTAATGTCTGACTCAAAGCAACTAGCTAGGAACTAGTAATATTTTTGCTATTTGATTTTCCATTTTTGAACTTGGTATAGAGATGTAGAATGATGTTTAGGATTTGATTTTCAACTGATAGTGCATGAATTGCAAAGAAGCTTGTGGTTTGAATAAAATGATGTTCACTATGGTGGTGACACATTTCTTGATGCAGCTTCTACAGCACCTTCAATCTTATTAATGCAAGATTTATAGAGAAATCCTAGATAGTCCACTAAGTTGTTCTCTGATACATCTTCAAGAGGATTAATCTCAAAAGACCATTGAATAAGAGTTGATTCATCTCCATAATCAACTAGTTTTAGTGAATTTACAGAACCATCCAAACCAACATTACTTGCTTCCATTCTATAACTGTATAACAGAATGTACTAATAATAATGAATCATATCAGGACACATTTACATACCATGTGTATGTTCTGATTATAGTAACTCAGGCCTAATATAGCTTTTTATAGTAAAATCCTTATTTTACATAATATGAATGCGGGATATTCGAGGCAAAATTTTGTCATGTTCATTGGATAAAAGACAACAAGTTTCTGGTGCTTTCATTTCAAGACTGATAACTCCAAAGACAGACTTAGATTTTTCCACCATTTCTTAGGTATTAAACATTTACATGTTATTGTGAGGCTTAAGAATTTGTTCCATAGTGAATTAATGCATACATCACTAGGTCATATTCTGGATTTAAAGTTTAAAGATATGACCGAGGTCTTACCATTATTGTATAGGTTATATGATTGAGCACTAGTGATAGGATTTATTCAGTGATTGGATTGAGCAGGTTTTAAATAATGGTGGATGTCAGCACAAAGATTTTCGCAATTTTGATCAATACAGATATTCCAATACTAATTTCAGTTGTGGCGGTATGAATTAAGCACAATTAGTTTTTTAACATCAAACCAGTAAACAACTATATCAGTATTGACATCGTCCCGCTCATGACCGTTTTTAAAACATTGTGTAGCTTCTTCTAATCTGTTAACTTAATCTGCTGTGTTTTTTTCCTGTCTTGATTAAAGTTGAAGGAATAGTCCAATGGTGACTTTGTGAGCTTAGTTTTTAGTTTTTGTATATAACCAAAATGGTGTGTGTAGTCAGATTAAATCAGTGGACTTCTTGATGCCTTTGTTACATTTTATTTGAACATTATGAGAACTTAAACTATTGCAGTATTATTTTTCTGTCATGATTAAGTTTGGGGGTGTAATCAAAATGAAAAGCTTGGCCATGTTAGTTTTTTCCAGATGGGACTCTGCTGTGCCCCTTTAAGATTCAGTCATGATCATTACTCTGTGATCTGTTTTCAGCATTCAATAAATGGATTGAGTAGTAATAGGTTAGTTTAATTGTTTTGAATCAGCTATTTAATCTTTTCTTGTCAAAGAGTACTTGCTAGTAATTTTGAAATGGAAGTATTAAACATAAAATAATGAAAATTCAGAGTACCTGATATGTTGAATTTCTTTACAGGTAATTAATTATTATTTTGCTATAGTTGTGTGACTAATTAGTTGCTATAGTCAAACCATGGATAAAAAATGGATGACTGCCAATCGATTGTCGAAAGAGTATGAGGATGGGGTATCAGAATTCGTTAAGTTTGCCGTTGCGCACGCCAGAGAACCCAATGGAATGATATGTCCTTGCTTGAGATGCTGTTATGGGAGACGGGTTGACGCGATTCAGTTGGAATCGCATTTACTGATGCATGGAATTGATAGAAGTTATGCATGTTGGAATTTGCATGGTGAGAAAAGTAGCGGGAATGTTGAATCGAGTTATAATACGACGTATGCTTCAAATGAGGATTTCGCAGACGCATACGATTATGATCGAGTCGAATAGATTGCAAAAGCGCTTGAAGAAGATCTTGAGGATTGTCCCAAAATGTTCGAGAGGTTGGTAAGCGATGCAGAGAAACCGTTGTATGATGGTTGTACAAAATTCACAAGATTGTCCGCGGTGTTAAAGTTGTACAACTTAAAGGCGGACAACGGATGGTCGGATAAAAGTTTCACACAGTTATTAGCCCTCGTGAAAGAAATGCTACCAGAGGATAATGTTCTTCCCAATCGAACGTATGAGGCCAAAAAGATGTTGTCCTCTATTGGCATGAGCTATGAAAAGATACATGCATGTCCAAAAGATTGCGTTTTATTTCGAAACGAGTACGCAGTGTTAAATGAGTGTCCTAAATGCGGTGCCCCTCGATATAAGGAAAAGTTGTCTCCGGAAAAGGTGTTATGGTATTTTCCTATAATTCCGAGATTTAGGCGCATGTATCGTAGTGAGACCGATTCAAGACACTTGACTTGGCATGCAGATGAAAGAATTATTGATGGGAAGTTGCGACATCCGGCAGACTCACCACAGTGGACGAAAGTTGATATTGATTATCCTGAA